TCTGTGACTCCTCCGGCTTGGAGATTTCAAACGTTACCTGCAAGGAAAGAGCATCAAAATCTGCTGCTGCTGCTGGCTGCCAGAGCCGGGTGGGCAGGGGATGGGGGGAATGGCACGACGGTGGGGGTGCTGAGCATCCCCTCCCTTTGGGAGGGTGCTGGAGCTGCTGGGGAGGATGCCCACTCCATGCACCAGTGTTTTGGCTCAGGTTTTCCCCGCTCTGGTGCTGGGACTGGAGCTGCCCGGCTCCGACCACAGCCGCACCGAGCTGCCCCGGGCTCTGTGGAGGTGGGTGCCCAGTGCGGGTCTCTCCAGCCCTTCTGCCGGCCGCAGGGTTTTTCCCGCTGGGGTCAGAGCAGGGTATTGCAGCATCCCCAAGGCTGCTGGGTCCATGTGTGACCGTCCTGCCCGGGGGCTCACCTGGCGGCTGGGGTCCTCCTCGCGGAAGATGAAGGGGCTCCCGAAGTGTCGCTGGAGAGCGGCGTTTGTGGTGAGCTTCAGTGACTTGAACTTCAGCTGCGCAAAGGGATGCTGGACGTGAGCACCGGCCGTGGGAGAGGACCCAGCGCCCCGACCGGTGGCCCCCGTGGTTTTTGGTCCCCAACATGGCTTTGCATCCGTGCTGGGGACGCTGTGCGCTGCATCCGTGGGGGAGGACGATGCAGTCCAAGTAGTGAGAGTGGCTAAATTGCAGCAGAAAGGCCTGCTCGAGATTAAATCCCGCACGATGAGGTGCTGTGTGGGATGTTGGATGCGCACACTGATAGAAGAAGTAGGACTTGAAAACAAAAGTCACCCCACACACCCCTGGGAGGGAAGACCAGCGCAGAAGAGGAAAAAAAACCCATGTTTTCATGGTGCGAGGGCTCCTTTGGGGGATTTCTCCTCAAAAGCCACATGCCTGCTTTGGGAGGACTTACTGCTTTCAGAGACTTCATCCACAGATTGCCACGCAAGTGCAAGTTCATCTCCTCGTTGGGGGCTAATTTCACATTGCAGTCGATGGAAACGACGTCGGAGTTACTGTGGTTCTGCAAGGGGAGAAGTTTATGGCGTGGGAACATCGCTGCCGAGAAGGGGATAAACCCCCCCGGGGCTTCTCCCCTGGCACACGCTGAGGGGAGCGAGATCCAAACCCCGGCAGAGGGGCCACGCACCCGTCCTCCCCCGTGGCCATGGGGCATCCCCATCCTGGGGGCTTTCTCTTCGGTTTGGGCTCAGCCCCGGGCCAGGATCAGGCCCACGAAGGCACGTACCAGGTGGGGGATGCGGGAGAGGTCCTCCTCGGCGGGCGTCCTCCGGTAGTCGGTGGTGTTTCCCCAGATGTTGCAGGTTGTGTTCTCCTGCGGGAGAAGCCGATGGGCTCCGAGCATGGGGACGGGGACCACGGTGGCCACCTCCCTGCAGCACCCATCCTGGTGGAAGCAGGGGGACCCCGGAACCCCCCAGGCTTTGCTGGTGCAGGTGGCTGAGCTGGGGTCACTGTGGGACGCGGCCGCCACCGCTGCAGCGCGGGGCTGGAGGACACCTCAAGAGTCGTCCAGCATCCTACTTTAATTAATTCCTGTGCTTCTCCCCCAGCAAAAATCAGCCTGGCAGAGAGCCCCACCGAGGACACCAGCCACGTGCGCTGGGGTGACACGGGGACTTTGCCAGAGCTGGCAATACCAAACGCCCTCATTGAAGCCAAATCCATCCGTAAACACGCCGACTCCTGTGCCAGGCTCTTTCCATCACCGGCACGTGAGTCCCGCCCGGCTGCCGGGGCAGCGGGAGGCTCGGGATGCCCCGGGCTCTGCTCCCAGCCCTCTCTCCACTTCTGCGGTTGCTCAAGGCTGCGGTTCACCCCAGGCACAGCTAATGCTTTCAAGACCCTCACGAATTCATTGCATACCGGAGGGAGGTCTAGCTCGGAGAAATATTTGGACTAAACCCTTTGGCCACTACCATTTTCCATTTTTCCAGCCAAGCGAATGCAAAAGCGAGAAGCCCTGGGCACAAGCCAAGACTGTCCATGAGCACGGGGGTGGGGGTTTGCAAAAGGATGGGGTGACCCGCTGTGGGGTGTCTCCATCCCCACCCCTGGTGCAGAAAGGTCCCACACGTGCTTAATGGGGATGAAACCCCCTCCTACCTGGTCCACCACGAATTCGGTCAGGAGCAGGAGGCGGTTGCCCGCCCGGGTGGCCACAGGGACGGTGAGCTTGATGGTCACCCCCTCCACGGGGAAGAAGCCCAGGTTCTGCAGCTGCGAGGGCAGAGGACAGAGATGTGCCCAGGGTGCTGGCGTCCCGCGGGATGGGGACGAGCAGGGTGACCGTGGCACATCCCACCTCCGGGACAGCACTTGGGGGGGTCCCTCAGCCGGTTTAAAACCCCCTCCTTACCTTGAAGGTGCAATGAAAGGGGGGGCCGATGCTGTCGTATCTCTCCAGGGAGCTGTTCGACCTGATTTCGTAGTAGTCCAGGCTTGACGTCCTGTCGCGATGAAGGAGGACAAGTCGCGAGGAGGGCTGGGAGCAAACAGAGCACGAAGCAGCTCCATGCCCAGCTGCCCCCAGCACCAGGCTGGGCTGCCCCAGCCCCTCCGCAGGCAGATTCCCCAAGGAGAGGACTTTCAGTCTGGTTGGCCCCATTTCGGATGGAAACCATCACCTGGCTCCACCTCGTGCAAAAAAAGATGGGGGATTTTCACGCTATTCTGCTTTTGCAGTATTTTCCCTTTCTTTGTAGGATTTTTCTTGCCTTTTTATTATAACAGAGACATCCAAGGCCCTGGTTGGCGGTTTGAATGTCACGTATAAATCTGGGGAGGTAAATCACAGCTCTGTTTTACAGCTGGAGAGGAGGGAAAGGAGCCAGGAGCATCCGACGGGTGCCCATGGGAGCCCGGCTGGGAGCACCTGGGATGGGACACACGCTGGGAGGTGTCACGACACAGGGCATGTGGCCCAAAACTCTTTGAAATTATTCCCCCTTTTTTTCCCCTCCCAAGGTGGCCAAATCTGAATTTTTTGTGCTGTTGCTTTTCCTCCAGGTTCTCCCTTCTCCCATAAGGGCCATTCTGATATTTGTTAAATTGAGCATCCCCCCTCTCCCCATAAATTCTAAGCACTAAAGTGGTTTTATTTTCAGTGCCCCACTGCCTCTAGTGTAAAAAAAAAAAAAAATGACTGAAGGTCTTAAAAATCTGCTAAGAATTACAGCAAGCGGTGCCAGGGAATGTGCTTCTGGGGTCCACGTTTTTTCTTAGAATCAGGTTAATAAATTATCATCTCTGCCTTAGCTCCCTGCTCCCCTTGGGCCGAGGACGCTCGGCTTTAGTTACTGCTGATGCCCAAACGCTTCCACACACATCCCTCAGCTGAGCTTCTGGCGAGATGATTTTTAGTGGGATGGCTACTGGCCCAGACACCGGCTAGTAACGTTATGAACATTGTTACCTACAATAAGCACTTTTTCCCCTTAAAAAAAAAAAATTGCCCTCACACCTATTTAATGAGACTTGTGCATTTAAACATTATGAAAGCACAGCACCTCGCTGCTTCTTGCTGTTGATTTTTATAAGGAGCCACTGAGCACGACGTGCAGCACTGAGGAATCATTGCAGAGTGATTTTATGGTTCCTTCAGCCCCTTTTCTAAACCAAAACCAAATTCCCCAAATTAAAGCCCAATTTGCACTGGGCTCTGTTTGAAGGCGGCTCCTGTGGGGCCAGCGCTGCTTTTCCCGAAGGACACCCTGCAAGCCGTGTCCCCCCAAAAGCTGCGTCCCCTTCCAAAACACGCACCTGGTGAAGAGCAGGTCGGCTTCGTACTTCAGGTGAAAATTCAGGTGGGCGAAGTTGTCCTCCTTGGTGCTCTCCTTCTCCTCGCTGTCGCTGAAACAGCAGCAGGGCAAGCGGGGGGTGAGGTGGGAGCTGGCTCCCCTCTGATTTTTTTTGGGGGGGTCATAAGGAAGCAGGTGGGAAAAGGCTGAACTTTTGCTTTTTGGCCAAAGTGTAAAGAGAAGGAATTTTATTCTGTAACTTTTATTAGCCCAAGGCTATAAAAGTAGATCATCTGGAGAGAGGTTTCCCACCCAGCAGCCTTAAAGAGGTGCAGCAGCCCCGGCAGAGCGAATCCTTGTCTGCTCTCTGCCACCACAGTTGATGAAAATGAAAAAAAAAAAACCAACCCTCCAGAGGTTTCAGTCGGCTGTCAGAAAACTTTACCTGTGCAGGGCAAGTGAGCGAGGAGAATTTTGCAAAGCTGTTAGGAGACAGTTTTCCTGGGAGCGTTTGCAGTTGTGAAGGTGGGTAAGAAAAGCAGCAGCGGCCGCTCAGTGCAGAGCCTGGCAGCAGCTGCACAGCCACCACATATACAGAAAAATGATGGACATAAATATATAGATAAATAAAAATAGCCTAGTTTGCGAATACAGGGCTGCACGCTCTGTAATAACCCATGGCAATCAGGTTTCCTTGTGGTTATTCCCCCAGTAAAGCCTCCAGCATCACCTACGGCTATGGAAGAAGGAAACCCAACGCAGGCAGGCAACGTCCCGTCGACCTCGCAAGCACGTGCAAGGGAGAAAGCAACCATTAACCTGTTGGCGATCAAGTAGATCTCCATGCTTTGAAGGAAAATCGACTTGCTGAATTCAAAATCCAGGCGAAAAGCTACCTGCAGAGGTTGGAAACAGATTGGAGAAAACATTAGGGGGGAAAAAACCCCTGAGTGCCGGCCAGGAGCGATGCGGGGGCTCTGCGGGTGAGAGCATCCCCCCCCAGCCCACCGAGAGATGCTGCCGGGCTGTGGGCAGAGCCTCGGCTTTCCAGGGAGAGAAGAGGCCATGCCGGGGATTTGCAGGATTTGCTTTCAGCCCCGTACATTGCATTTTTTTTTTGCTCTGAGATTGGAGAAGCAAGCAGCCCCCCTTTGGAAAAGAAACCCTCCGGGGGACCTGCAGCGAGAGGCCGCTCACTCCCATCTGCGGCACGGGGTCGGCTGGCGGGGGAAGGCAGCGGCGGGAGGCCAACAACAATAAAATGTGATAAATGTCACATCTGCAAGAGCTGTGGCAATGACCTCAAACTGTCTGGGACTGCACAGCTGAGTATAATATTAAAGCTCCTGCTGCTCTCGGGCCAAATTTCCATTTCCAGCTTGTCTTTGTTTTGGCAGGACCTGGACTACCTGATGCCACGCAGATGCATTCTCAGCCCCTGTAGGTCACGGGGAGTCGGGCTGCTGCACTCTCGTGTACGGCCACAGGCATCCGAGAGGGCTTTTTTGGGAGCTTTAAAGCCTAGCGAGGTGCCTGGAGCTCATCCGTCATTATCAGGCTTCGGACAAGGAAAGGCTTCAGACGGATACGGCAGTTGGAAAGATTTTATCTTTAGACCCCGCTTGTGTTGGCCCCTTTTCCCACGGGCAGGTGGGATTTCACACGGAGCCCCGGTGACTGCAGAGCATGGCATCTCCTCGCTTTTCCTTCCCCACCTTAACACAGTGTGTAAGGTTTGCAAAGGGGTTTATGGCATATAAAAAACGGTGCTCGCCGGACCTGGGCTTGCACCCAGTGCTGGGAACTGCTGTGAGCTGCGGTTCGGAGGATGCCACCAGCCCGAGAGGGCTTGGGCAGGCTCGGAGGAGGGTCTGGAGGGACCCTGGGTATTCAGAGCAAGGAAAACCTCTCAGGCAGGACAGGGTGCCTCACCCTGCGAGGGAGGAGATCGGGCAAGTTACTATCAGCGGTTTGAAGCCAACATTAAATTGCTCCAAAGGATTGGGGTCAAATTCTTTGACTCGGAGGAGCTGGGTTTGATTTTGGTGCTCTCCTAGCATCAAGGCAGCGTCCTAACCATCCCGGCTCCCCTAATGCACTTTCCAAACACCAGCAATGGATAGAGAAAGGGAAGAAACCAAATGTTTATCTTTAAAAATCCTGCTCAAAGCCACCCAGCCCAAAGATGGATGGATGTGGCCCCGTGGCCGTGCCGAGGGCAGAGGGTTCCCATCCCACGGGCGGGAGGGAATAGCTTTACCTTGGCCTTGGCTCGGAAAAACGGGTAGCTCACGTTGCACACTTTCTTGTTGGGGTGCTTGTCTTCGGTCATGCAGTCGATGTTGATGTCTGTGTCGTCCTAAAATGGGACGTGACGTGTCCATGACACCGGGCACGAGCCCCACGATCTGGCTCTTTATGAAAGCAGCAAACACACCCGCAGGGCTCAAAACAGGCTTTAACTTTTGGGAAAAAACCCAAACAAACCAACCAACCCCCCTGCTTGCTGCAGGCTGGGAATCCTTCCCATGCAGCTGAATTTCTAAGGCCATTTCTGGTGAGGGGCATTTCTAGCAAGTGGCTTCCAGCTTTCTGATTTAAACCCTCTTTAGAAATTTAACTACAGCTGTGAATGAATGAACCCGATTATTCTTGGCACTATAATTGGGAAGAAGAATATTTTTCTGTGATGAGGAGTCACAGGGAAGCATCAAGAAATAACCTGAGCTATTATTTCGCATGGCCACCAGCTAAACGATAATATTTCATTTCCTCGTCTCAACAGTTACGTTCCTGCTGCTTGACCACCTTCCAGCTCACCAGCCAGGCTGGGGAAGCTCCTGCCCATCGCAAAGCCCAAGCACTGGGGTGGGATGGGACGCCGACCCTGCTCTGCCTCCTCCGCTGCCAAGCTGTAGCAACCCTACAAGAGGCTGTAGCCTGGTTGTATGCAGGTGTCCGTCCCCACCACGGGACGATGAGCTATTCCAGTTTTTGGCCCTGTGTTAGACCCCGCAAGGGTCTCGGTTCGAGCTGCTGCCACCAGACAAGTCCCACCCAGGAGCTGAAACATCCCAGCAGCAGTGCAGGGAAAATGCCCTGACAGCTGTCAGCAACGGCCCGGAGCTTTCTCCCACTCATCTGCTGAGATTGTGGACTTTCTGGGGCCACAGCTACTTTTTATTTGGGTCTCTCTACAGCCTCTGACACAAACATCCATCCCCTCCAGTTGGCAATTATCTATAAGGAGCAGCAGCCAGGAACGCGTTAGCAGGGATGCTTCTGTAACCAGCTACAAATATTTCCTGCAACCACTGCTGGATGGTGCTTTCTGTAACTGAGCATCGTAGGGTTTTTCCCCCTCACTTAATTTGGAGTAATCTCTTAGAAAATGCATTTTTCTTATTTTGTGGGCAACGTGCCCCACAATTTTCCCTTGGCACGGCTTGTAGAAAAACAAAGGCAGGACATGGGATCTGCGGGTGGGTATGAAGTCATTGGGGGGATGAGCGAGGGCTCAGCAGCATCAGCATATTTCCCAGCCTCGCTGGGAGAAGGGAGGAGTCGCACCGACACCGAGCGAGTGGTGGGGTGAAATATTGGGGAGGGTGGGAGTGGGGTGTCTCCAGGGGACAGCCGGAGGGAAGTGGCATTGCCCGGCTCGATGCTGAGCTGTGGTCACGTTCCCGTTATCAGCCCGTACTTCCAGGAGTTATATCTCAGCTGCAAAAATTCATCCCTGACGGGAACTTGGCCATGTGCAGCAAGTATTTTTAAACTATTGGAGTAGAAAAATAAAGAGGGAAATAATTTCATCTGCATTTGACCTTCTTTCAAGCTCTTAAAATTCAAACATTTTTGTATTTCCAAAATAAAGAGCTGAAAGGGCTGTAAGCGCTTAGAAACTAAGCCCATAAACATGTCTGATTTATGAAGGATAGAGACAATTTTGAGCTCTGGTTTAGGACACGGCTTTCTCATCCGGCCGGGATTAGAAGCGCCTCTGGAAAGCCCTGGACCTCCCCGGGCAGCCTCACCTTGGGGATCAAGCTGGCGAACTGGAGGTTTCTGGAGAAGGAGATGTTGAGGACCGTGCTGTAGGCGTTTTCGCCTCGGTTCTCCAGCGCCGCCTCCACGGCCACCCTCCTCCTGCTGCTCTCGATGACGAAGACGGAGGCGTCGAAGGAGAGGCTGAAGTCGGAGCAGTCCGGCGGTGCCCTCCGCAGAGCCCGCCGGCAGTACTCCCTGCAAGAGGAGGGCAGCGGTGAAGGCACGAGCTGCCTGCAGCACCGTGCCAAGACCTAGCCCCGGGAATTTCATCTGCACGGTGCGAGGGATAGTGCAAGGAAATCCCTGCTCTCCCTCTGTCGTGCTGCGCTGCTATGGAAAGAGGAATCACAAATTCCTCCCATGGACCATCATTTTGCTTGGGATTTTTTGGCTAACGGTGCCTAGCTTTCTCAGACCCGGTTAGGAGCTCTTAATACAGCTGGGATGTAAGGAAAAAAGTAGATCCCATACCATTAGCAAAGGGTAAAGCTGGCATTCACTTTCAGCCTGGCTGAGATTTACCTCCCGCTAAGTTTACCGGCACAAACTCTGCAATGGCAGCATCTGCTTTTACAGACTGGATGGGTGTTTGGGAGTTTATTTTCTTTATGAAAAATAAAAAAGGAAAGGAAAATGTAGGACGGTGGCACCTTCAGAACCACCTTCTGCCTCGAACGGCGGGGCAGCCAGGGCGCCGGTTTGAAGGAAGAGCTCTATTCCAGCAAGTCACCTCAAAAGCGGTTTTCTCAGCAGAAATCACCTCCCCATCGGCTGCTCTTGCAGGGCACGATCCGGTGCCCACTGATGCCATCAGGAAAGCTCCACAGGCTTCAGGAGGAACCGGAGTAGAGGTCTGGCACCCTGGTAGACCATGGTGTCTGCCCATGATTATTTGTAGGACTCCAGCCACTAAGATCCATAAATAATCCCCTACCTACAGCTCCCTTCAACTCCCGCAGCGCAGCCCAGCCAGGACCGGTCATGCCTTGGGTCGCAGCCTCAGGACCAAGAGCTTTACAGGAGAGACAGAGCAATAAATGCTGAATTACGGGATACAAGTAATCCCCAGGTAGCAGTGCTGGCCATGACCTTGGTCCAGAGCCCACTGCCATCGATGGGAGGTGGAGGTTCAGGCTCCTGTGCTCCTAGATAACCTTTAAAAGCACTCAAAGTGATCACACGTAACGTATAATTATTTCTGCTGCGTGAGTCAAGCCTGTAATTGCCAAGTGGGTAATGCCAGCCTTGTATTTATTCCCCCCTGTTATTTACTGATTTATCTCCCTGGGGCTCATCACCATGGCATCAAATATTAGTTGTTTTGTGGATTCCCTAAAAACCCACCGATTCATTCCAGGCAGGGAGCAGGCAGAGGCTCAGAGACCTGCGGCGAGTGGAGGTGCCGAGGAGCACCTCGTGGTGGTGTTGGATGAAGGACCAGCTGCGATGCCTGAATCCATGGAGCATGGGTTGGGACTGGGTTTTGGAATCCCCCCCAGTTTGTGATACTGGTTAGGAGGATGCTCTGAGAAACCTACTCACATGGCACTGGGCACATCGCTTCTGGCATCCAGGACCAGATCAGGGACGCAGTGCTCATCCTCATTGCATCCGTTCCAGAAAGGGACCTGAGAGGGATGACAAGAGCAGCTCAGTGATGCTTTGAGCCCTAGGTTGTACTCCAAGGAGAAGGGACATCACCGGTGATCCCAGACTATCACGGGAGGGACCAGGGATTACAGCCCCGAGATAAAGAAGCAAATGTTACATCCAGAGATAGATCTGCTGACCACGTGCCTGATAAAAGGCACCCCGGGAGGTCGGTGCTGCTACCTACCGAGACCTTGAGCGAGGTGGCCCAGCCGTCGTCCAGCATGGGGCCGTTCTCGGGGTGCTCCAGCTCGTAGTCGATGGAGAACGTCACCGGCTTCACATAGTCAGCTGTGTCCTGTGGTGGACAGAAAGCATGGCTGAGAAGGACAGGGCTCCTGCTTGTGGAAGGGCAGCACCAGAGAGCAAGGGAAGGCAGAACTACAGGCACGTGTGCTTATTTTATGAAATAAAAGCTTTGCAATCTAGTAGGTGTGTAACCATCCTGTCTCTCCAGCTAACCCTTACCTAGGGAGAGGGACAACCCGAGCTCAGCTACTCAACACCCATCTGATGGTGTGGGAAATGCTTCACCCTGGAGACGCTGGCTCCAAAAGATGGGTGCTCCGGGGAGACTGACCCTGAGCCAGGCTCCCGGGGGGACAGAGCTGTCCGGCAACCCTTACCTGGGGCTCGTCTGGCTGCACCTTTCCTGCAGCTCTATGAGCTCTTCCCATGCATTGCAGCAGCCGCACGGGATGCAGTTAGATGCTCTGAAGTGAGATGCTTCTTGGGCTAAATCACAAGCTCCGTCTCGAGCTCCAGACTCGAATTTCCCAGAAGTTCATGGTGGTTCAGGCCAGGGCTTGGGGCCGGGCCAGTCTGGCAGCTCGGCCCTCCCTGGCCTCTGCAATATTCTCATCATTCACTGGGAATGTTTGATTTTGGCCAGGTTTGTGCATCAGCTGTTCCCTACGAGCAATGCAGAGGGTTTCGCTGGCTCCTGCACCCGGGGAGGGGGACCCTGATGGTCAGAGGGGTGCAGAGGGTGAGAGCACAGGGGACTGGCACGGAGGCATTTGGTTCCCAAAGGAAAAAAAAAGAGTTTTCACAGATTTTGGAGCAGAAGGACCAGTCTGACCCGGGCGTCAGGAGTGCACGCCCTCCCCGAGGGCACGGCTAGCGGCTCGTGGAAAGGAGCAGAGTGCAAGCTGGGGCTGCAATGAAGTCAGCGCTTGGGGATCCAGCAGCTGCCGCGCGCCGGCAGCTCCATCCCTGACCACATCAAGCCCGGCGTGAAGAAATCCGGGCTGGGGGATGAGGCTCATTTCCAGCCCCATGAAGCCATCGAGGCTCCTCCGACCACGTCCTGGCACGTCGCTGTTTTGCACGAGGTGGAGAGCATCTTTGCTCTCCCCCGGGGCTGGCAGGGGAGGAGACCCCAGCCTTGTCCTCCTTCACACTCACCAAGACGTGGAACTGGAGCCTGTCGCAGTGCTCCTGCCCGGCGAGCAGCACCAGCCCCTTCTGCGTGTGCCGCTCTCCGCTCTCGTCCAGGTAAGCCCGTGGCGTGTACCTGCGCTCGTCGATGGTGGCATTGTACCGCAGCGCTGGAAGGAGAGCAGGGCCGTCAGGGCTTCTCTCTGGGGTTACGCTCGCTATATAGCAACACCGGGTCAGAAAATGGGCTTTTGTGCACTCAAAGCCCTGTTGCCCCGCTGGGAGGAGGGTGGCAGGCAGCGCGCTACGGGAGAATTGGGAAAAGCAGGTCATAGTTATTGTTACCTGTTTCTAACAGACATTTCTTTTGGGCAAAGCATCCACTCTCCAGGTCAAATGAGGAACTTTTTAAAAATGCATTACTACAAGACACCGAGTAAAACCTGTGGAGGATGTATAACCACCTGCCTCATATATATGCACATGCTGGCCTGTACCAGTTCTGGAGGTATTGTACCCTGGAGCACTCTCCTCTCCTAGATGCTTTACTGGAGATCATTTGCTTCCTGCAGTGCTGTCAAAAAGAAACCGAAGGTCCCCAACCCGGTGCCGAGCAGGGGGGGATTTGCATCCACTACACCAATGCGATGCAAAACGTGCAAGAAAGAAAAGAGTCAGCCCCCAGCACGCACCATCCACGGGGGGAACTTCTGGGTAGAAATAAGTATAAAAGTAAATAAATAAAGAAAACCCCACACTCAGCTTTTTGTCCTGCAAGCTCCACAATTATAGCAGGGAGGAGGAGAACACTGGATTTGATATACAAATCAAAATTCCTGCTCTAGGGATGGGAGTTTTTCCTTTGGCTTTGCTCGGGACCTGATTTTCCTTTGACAGCGTTTGCTGCCGGGTTGCAGGGAGCCGAGCCGCTATCGCTTCCCCCCGCTCCAGCTGAGTCACGGGCATCCGCCGGGTAGACGCGGGGTCACAGCAACATGCAAGGGTTTAATAGCAGAGCTGGCCAATAACTTCACAGAGATTCCCTGGAATATTAGGGAAACATGCACATATGGTCGGCAGATGCGTCCTGCCGCTGCAGCGGGGAGGACGGATGGGCTCTGTGGGACATGGTCCGGGCACGTCCTCTCCTGTCCTGCTGGCTGGTGGGGTGGTGGTGACATCTCCATCATAAGTACTGTGGCAAGATGAGCTGCAGGAGAGCTTGGCCCCGGGGCATAGGTGAGAGAAGAGGTTAAACACGGGTGAGGTTTTATCCTTGGGGTGTTTCTCAGCACTGCTTAATGGCAGAGCCACCGTCCGTACTGCATCAGCCAGGATAGGGACAGATTTGTGGGTAAAAAGGGATGTGGCAGATGGCAACGTGCACTCCTCCAGACACGCCAAGCTCCTGCATGGTTTCCCTTGGCAGAAGCCGGGTGCTCCTTCAGGGCTGGAGACCTAAACAACGCATGAATTGGGGTTTTTGTCGCGCGAGCAGCCGTGCCGCTTACCCACGCTGGCTGTCTGGAAGTGAGCCGAGAGGAAGACGGCGGTGAAGCAGATGAAGGCTGACATGCAGGTGGCATCCTTCCCGTTCCGCTTGCAGTCCTTGGTGAAGATGTTGATTTTGGAGGGCTCGAAGCGGATGCTGGCATTGATCTGGACCACGCTGCGGGACCTGCGGGGTGAGGAAAGGTCGGGAGATGTGCTGGGGCACAGGATATCCCAGATGTCTGCAGCAGCCTCCAAAACTGTCCCACTCCTCCCGATTCACCCTTTTCACACCTTTTCACCCATTTTCTCAAGATCAAGAAGGTGCTGAGGAAGACCAAAGGCCACCACGGCATGCTGATCTACTCTCAGCTCGTCTGTATAGTTATTTGAAGAATAAAATCTCTTGCACATATTTGCCTCCTGCTTATGCCAGTGAAGTAGCTCAACACCAAGGGCAGGATTAGGCCCCTTGCATGCAGATAGCACTTTCCAAGGCAGAGCCCAGCGTGGTCCGTCTCTGCTGGGCACAGCTACCCTCCATCCTAACAGCTTCAAGGGACTTTCCAAACATTAATCAATATTTGAAAATATTGAATTGTTCTTATTAAATAAGAACAGAGGGAGCCTGGGCAAATCACCACAAATCAATTAGCTGGTTTGAAACTCCTGGGGAACTAATGACGAAATTCAATGCAAAACCAACTCTGACATCCTTCTAGGGCCCAAAGGCATTGAAATCCCACCAGACAGGGGGTCGTTATTGTGGAAAGATGGGTCAGATTGTTGGGAGATCAGTTTTCCCCCCAGAAATGTCAGTGTATTGCAATGAGCTTTGGGCAGAGGAGAGTGCCAAACGAGATACAGCTAACCACAACAGCACGGCGTTCCCCAGAGAGCCGACGGCCAAGTCTACGAGCCCGTCTTCGTTCAGGTCCAGCTGTCCGTGGATGCTGCATCCAAAATACATCAGGCCAGGCACGAGGTCCGCAGCTGCTATCCGCTGAAAAGCAAAGGGGAGAATCCAGCCTGGTTTCCAGCAGGAGCATCCCTGCCTGCGAAGGAGGGGTTTGCCATGCCGACCTCCACCACGCTACGGAAGGTGCCCCTTTCCAAGCGATTGCACCAAACATAACTTTCCAGGGAACGAGAGCAGTTTATCTTCGGAGACACCGTGCAGAGATTTCTGCTGAAATTATTCTGCATATTTACTATTTCTCTACAAGTGTGAGAAATATTTTAGCTCTAGCAATCCATTGCGCCGAGTGCTAAGCATTGCCCCTAATTTCAAGCAGGTTTTCCATACCCTATGTTTGCTTTGTCTTGGACCCCTCACAAGAGGAAATATCTGGCAATAATAATAACAATGCAATACCATGTGTGAATTTATTGTGCTCTATCAGTCCTTAAAATGGGCACAAATGACATTTATTCTGACAAAGGATGAGGACAACAGGAGCACCCGGGAGCCGTACCTGCTTGTACTTCTTCAGGACGGTCTCTTCGAAGCCAAGGAAGATGTATATAGCTCCTTGGTGCTCGTCTTCCAAAGGTGCCCCGACAACAAGGTCGTTGTAGGAGTCCTGGTTGAGGTCGGGCACGGCGGCGATGCAGGAGCCGAAGCGGGAGTTCTGGTAGCTCTGCAGATCGATGAGGGCACCACTGGAAACGAAGCGGTTCTGCGGGGCCAGGCAAAGAGAAAAGGCAAAAAAAACCCCAAAAAAGTCAGCAGCAAGCGTGGCAAGAGGAGAAATACCTCAAAGGCAAGCAAACAAGATGCAGTGATGTGCGAGCAATTTCTCCAAGGAAGGAGGCGAGAGCCCCTCTGGGGCCCTGAAGTGATGGTGGGGGGACCGACCTTGCTGCTCCCCACAACCCCATGCCCAGCCCAGCCCCCGGGCAGGAAGGTGCCCTTGGAGGGGATGGTTTTGGGGGATGCAAAGTGGATGGAGACTGTTTCTCCAGAGAGACACCCATGTTGCAAAGACCCCACCTTGCACCCCGTGCATCACCTCCTCGGGGCCGGGAAGCTCGCCCGGCCGGGAGCAGCGAAGCCTTGAGACGAGGCGGCTTTGCTCCAGCACAGGCTGGACTCCCTTCGTTGGCAGCGAGCAAACCACCCGGGATTGTTTATAAACAAGGAACACAGACAAATCCTCCTCGAGTCTCACAGCAGCCGCAACAGCGAGACGCTGCCAAGCTCTGTTGCCTTTGGACCGGGCTGCCGTGCCCTGGGATGTCTGATGGAAGCTGCCGGGTGTGCGCAGCCCGGAGCCATCCCGGGGAGGTGACACGAGGGGACACAGTTCCCGTGCTAGCGCCCAAACATCCCGGCCCCTGTGGCATCCCTGGCTCGCCCCGCAGTGCTGCCACGTACCTCCCGCAGGGCGTAGACATAGACCTTCCCCCTCTCCCTGCCCTCGCTGAAGTACATGGGGGCTCCCACCAGCAAAACGTCGGTGACGCCGTCGCCGTTGACGTCGAGGGAGTTGATCTCGCTGCCGTAGTAGGAGCCGATCTGGAGGAGACAGAGGAGGGGATGGGAGCAACGCTCCCGGCGAGCAGGGCACTGCCACCTTCCCCGGCGGGG